CCTGGACTCCCAAATCCTACAGCACTTCTACATGTTATTAGACTCGGGTTAGGTTAACATCAGGACTCGTTTTCTTCTCAGCAGGTTTCTTATATCCATCTGAACTGAGTCATGTTTTGGTGTTATGAAACCCCTGACATCTCCAAGTGATAATGAAAAGCCGAGCTGACAGCAGAGGGCCAGGACTGCCCTCTCGCAACCTGCTTTCACCTCGGCTTGGCCGGGTTTATCCTTAAATTGAATTCCTTTTTTTTAAAGCTCCAGAAGAGGCGGGCTAGACTGAGCCGAGTGAAGTGGAGAGGGTGTTGAGACAAGCTGTGCTCTGCCTTTGTTTGTGTTGCTTGTTGGCCTCACTATCAGACATTCGATTTAAATGGAAAAGGACAGAAAACAGGTGCAGTGAAGGCATGTTGCATCTTTTTTTGATCTGGCTGGTCTATAAACAGATAAAGACAATGCTTCACACCAGGAAGCCCTTCTGTATTTTATGGTTTGAACCCATAATCCTTTGATATTTTAAGGCAGCTCATACTTGACCCTCCCTACCACCCAGTGACTTTAGAAATACCCTGTAATGTCCTTTAACACCACATGGGACTTAATTCCTTAAACAAACCATGTTTGAGTGTGATTTAGAGCTAATCTGGACAGGCGACGGTCATTTCTATCTTTCCTTTAATAATTTACGATTGGTGGAATTTATAGCACTGGCTCCCCAGCCGTGCATGCCGCCAAATCCATATGTCTGTAATATAATGAGATTTTAGCGCAGCGAGAGTATAAATTATGGTGTGATTTGTTCTCTTGCTGTTTTGTCAGGGCACAGCCTTTGAGAGTGTGTGTGTGTATGTAGCTTGGGGACATGGCTGGCATTTGGCTGCCACAACGCTCTAATTGCTGACGTACACACAGATAGATGGGACCTGATGGTTGGTGTCGCCACTGGAGGGAGAGAGGAGGAGGAAGAGATGGGAAAGGAGAAAGAGGGGAGAAACAAGGGTTTAGGAAAAGAAAGAGGACAGATCAGGAAAGATGAGGAGGGGAGGAGAACAGGGGAGCAGATGGACAGATAGACACATGGAGAGACAAGTGCGAAGGAGGGATAATGTCTTATGGCTGGAGATCGAACTTCCTGCAGCTCCACAGCCAAGCGGGTAACCACACAGAGGGAGCCACATTTAGAGAAAAGAGAAGCAGAGATGGAGAGAGGAGGGCCAAACTCTGCCACATTCATCTCCCTCTCAGATCCGATGCTCCAGGGAGCTGTTGGAAAATGAAGAATTACATGGCCCTGATCAGATTACATTACCGAACAAGTGATTACATGCATTTGACTCTTGTACAAAGGAACAAAAATGAAGGAAGGGAAGGGAAACATACATGATCTGATTAATTATGTAATTATTTGGTATTTGCTCTGGCTATGATACATGGGTAACGTTTTGAGGGAAGGTAGACTGGTAATTTCATCAATGTTTCACTGCCTGCCATCTAAACCTGCCTTCATATAAATGTTAAATTTGTTCCAGTTGCCAGTGGTAGAGTTGAATACTGTACGCTTAAAGCATTTTCTATCATTGTATTTCATCGGCACGACAAAAAAAAGGGGAAAAGACGTGGAATCAGAAAACCTATGAAATACAAACGTTTGACAAAATGAATCATACTTGACGTGCCAGTTTCAGGCAACAATTCCTACTAAAACTGATCGCCAGGTAATTATTGTAAAAATAAACTATTTTTAAATATCCTATATGATGTGACATTAGCAACACATTATGTATTCAGTATCTATGTCATCTCTGTATCCAAGACTCGTCCCTCTCACCGAGATTTTAAAAAAAACTGCAGAACTTATCAAAAAAAGAAAAGAAACTTTTCTCTTAAACTAACAAAAAAACTGTAGAGTTAAGTTCAGAGAAATATTGAGGCTGTGACAAAATTGCTATTAAGGCTATATGACTGGAGGATGGTTAGACAATATTTTTTTATTTCAGAAAATAATAATATTTAACAATAAAAAATGTAGTTACAAAATCTGACTTGTTAAATGGCCATATGCCTCTGAGCTTTAGAGCAGATTCAAATTTTTCTGTCAAACTCAAACTTTTGCTTGCTTTAGCTAATTCCAACAATAACTTCTAGTTTACTTTGATGCCTGTTGAGTATTACATTTGCACAAAGCCTTACATTCACCATCGCAGGACAAAATCTATGTTACTCAGACCCCAGTAGTCTGGAAAATATGGCATGTACTTTACCACATAAACCAACTGTCTATTATAGCTTCAGAACAAGCTAAAAGAAAAGAAATTAACTAAAGTATCATTTTCTAGAGCCTCCCAGAGCTCCAGTAACCCGCTGCTTGTTAATATATGGATAAAGGTGAGGCTATCTATCTATCTATCTATCTATCTATCTATCTATCTATCTATCTATCTATCTATCTATCTATCTATCTATCTATCTATCTATCTATC